TGGCCTACCTACATATTTAGTATCAAGATTGAAGATGAGGTTTCCTCTTTTAATTTATGTTTCCCACAATTACAAGGTAGACATGTTAAATAATGATTTTTTTTTTCCAGAACAAATTTTGGTCCTGAGAAGTTGAAGTTGTTTTCGGGGTCATGTTACCTACCACATCCGGATAAGGAGGACTATGGTGGAGAGGATGCACATTTTATTTGCGTAGATGAACAAACAATTGGTGTTGCAGATGGTGTAGGTGGCTGGGCAGATGTTGGTGTTAATGCTGGACTGTTTGCTCAAGAACTCATGTCCCATTCTGTTAGAGCAGTTGAAGAGGAACCAAAAGGTTCTGTTGATCCCGCGAGTGTTTTAGAGAAGGCTCACTCATTTACAAAGGCCAAGGGTTCATCAACAGCTTGTATCATTTCCCTCAGTGATACGGTATAGTGTTATTTTTATTTAAATTTGTTACTATTAAAATAGTTTTCTTCCTTTCCTGTTGGAAGCACTGGATGTGTGCAGACTTTTTTAATTGCATTTTTTTGCTATAAATTAAATGTCTGTTTCTTTTTCACTCGGTTGACTTTGTCATCATTACATTAGATCATGCATCTCCCTCCCCAACATCTGCATTTTGTCACATGAATGGTTTTCTTCCTTTTCTGTTGGACATTACTAGAGGTGTCTGGATTTCGTTAGCATTTTTAATGCTATATATTAAATAGTTGTTCTTTTCACGTTGTTGACTTTATCAACATTACATTAACATTAGATTATGCATCTCCGTAGCATCTGTATTTTTACGTCATATGATGTCTAATGTAAAATCTTGTACCATAAAACTAGATTCTTGTCTACGTCCAGGATCGGACTTACTTACTGTTACGTGTTAGTGATGAGTTTAGCATGTATCTACTGTTAGGTTCCTTTGAAATCAATATCTAAATGGCACAGGGGAAATAAAATTAAAGCTTGCTCAATATTTTCCATCTTGTTTTTCATGAATTTGGTGACATTGTTCTCCACTATACTCATTTTAATATACAGTTCATGCATGAACACATACACACATATCTTTAACTCTTGTCTAACCTGCTACTAAGCCTTAAGATATTGATGTTTTAGTGTGCATCATGATTGACTGAAGCCCATCAGTTCACAACCAATAAAATCTGGGTAGCTAGTTTTTTTAATATGAAAGGAAGTGAAAGAGTAAATCAAATGATTGATTTGCTTACTATGTTTGGTTTCTTGGTCCAGGGACTGCATGCCATTAATTTAGGTGACAGTGGGTTCATTGTGATTAGAGATGGATGCACCATTTTCAGGTCCCCTGTTCAACAGCATGACTTCAATTTTACGTATCAACTGGAGAGTGGCAATGGATGTGATCTACCCAGCTCTGGTGAGGTATGTTGTCACTAATTTCACACATGATTTACTTCTAAGGACATTACATTGGCAATATGGAAATTTCCAACATGGGGCTCTTATTTGTTGAGGCTGTACCCTCTTACCCGTTTCTGATAGCATGCATGCCAGGGACTTTTTGTTGAGACAGTATAGTCCAACTCTTACTGTTTCTGACAGGATGGCTCTGGTGCCAAGAAACAGAGTTTGCAGAACTTTCCTCCAATCTCTTGTGATTAATGTGAACAAACTGAAAGATTGGCATTTGAAATTTCTTTCATATCCTAATTATATTTTCTGGTTGATTTCGTAAAACACGAGGTTTGATTTTTAAAGGTAATAATAAAGAGGGTTTTTATTTAATTTTAAATGAAAAAAAAATACAAGGAGAGGGGAGTGAAAATGAAAGGTGTATCTCATTTTCAATATTCCCTTTTGTATATTAAGCACATTTAAGATGACTTGGATGTGAGATCAGAAAATGTTACTGAATTGGAGGGGTCGGGAATGTCACCTCCCAAGGAATTTAGAGAAGAATGATTTCTGATTAATGTTTCCTGGTGCATTATACATCCATATATAGGGAAAGTAAAACAGAATCATAACAGAATGGTAAAGGAAATAATCCTATTGCAATTTGACAGCTCATTACGAAGAATCTTTGATAGATTGTAAAATCTTTAGTGCACGAAGTCCTCCCAAGCAGAGGGAGGTTTGGTACTACGCTTGGGCCTTTTATTAACATCCATTGTAGGCCCATTCGTTAATGCTGCAGTTGGGTCTATGGTTGCTGGACTCCTATCACTCCCTGGCTCTTGGAAAACTACCTTGTTCTCAATGTAGTAAGTGGCAGTCAAGTCAGCCTAATCCTCCCAAGTGGTGTCTTTAGGAGGGAGTCTTGCCCATTGGACCACGGGGAAGGTCACTAGTATTTCCCATTTGGAATCCAAAATGGAAAGTGGTTGGATAATTAACTTGGGACTAGAAAAGATAGCAGGAAGGTCCTTAGTAGTGGGAAAGGGTCTATGAGGTAATTTGAGTAAGGAATAGTGGAAAACTGGATGAATCTAGGCAAATTCAAGCAAAACCAAACAACAAGCAACATGACCAACAACTTTCATGATCTCAAAAGGGTCATAAAAGCATTTGCTCAACTTTTTTATAACGGGATCACAAAATAGAAACTTGATGGTAAGGCTACAATTTTACTTATATCAACACAGGCCTTCATAGTTTGTTAAGCCTTATGCAATTTGTAAGTAAGAGAGGCAAGTAAATCTTCCTATGAAGAAAGAAGGCAGTCAACAATTTCAATGTGGAGGAGCTAGGAAAGTAGATGGAAATGATGGGAGGACATTTCCCAAAAGTGGCTTTGAAAGGTGTGATTCTTGTAGCAAAATGGAGGTGTTATTGTATCACCATTCTGCAAGGCTGAGAAATTTGAGCCATTTAGAAGGTTAACTATTGACATAAGCACAAAGATGTAGGTCAAGCTCCCTAACAAGGATCCCGGTCTTTCCATCACTTTGAACGTGATAGGCTGTACTCATGTGAAGCGGTACAACTCAACCTCAAAAGCTTTTACCTAAAGTGTTGATAAAGAAAGGGTCTTGATCAAAAGATAAGACTTCTTGGGAACCCATGAAGTTTGCAAACCATATCAATGAAGCTAAGAACAACTTTGTTGTAGTCATTGAAATGTGTAGGGAGAGGACAAAAATGTGCACCTTTTGAAAAATGATCAACAACAACTAATATAATTGTGAAACCGGAAGATGGTGGAAGTCCGATTATGAAATCTAAAAGACAAACCTCCCATGGAGCAGTAAGAGGAGGTATAGGTTGCAATAAACTAGGGGTCTTAGTGTTGTACTTTGCTTAGGGAAAACTGAATAGTTAGTGATGATTTGGGTGATGTCGTACTTCATTGCATGCCAAGAGATATTGGTAAGTTAGCTAAGAGCCTTTGCAATTCCCATATGGCCACCCAAGGTAGAAGCGTGAAATTCAGTCAATAGCAAGGGAATGAAAGAACAATTATTAGGAAGCCAAATACTACCTTTGTAAAGTAACAAGTCATCAATGATTTTATAATTAGAGTGATAAGAGGGTGAAAGAGAGACCTATTGTTTGATGGAACAATATGCGTTTGAAGGAGGTAGTTATTGCTTCAAATTTTCTAGGAATTGAAATTGTAGAATGGAGAGAATCCAACTAACTAGAGTCCATTTTACAGTCATGCATATGAGAAAGAGCATTGACAATGACATTGTGCTTACCTTGCTTTAATTGAATGGAGATAGAAGGAGAACAAAACATGAAGATAAAACACTTTCAATTTGTCGAAGAAGATGAATGAGAAAAGAATGTAAGAGAGAAACTTACGGGTTGATGGAGGAAGCCACACCCACTTGTAAGATCTTCAAGATAAGTGTTAAATTGAATTGTCACTTGATCTTATGATCCAAGATAAGACTCAAGAAAGAAGGTGCTCTCTTTCAAAGAACTCTAGAAGTGCTCTGCAAAATCTCTCTCAATTCTCATATATTTAAAAGTTACTTATAAAGAGAAGAGACGATTATTTGTAGCCTAAGATCATCTCCTAAATGAAAGTATAATATGCATAACTTGGAATGTAAATGTAGAATCTAGATACTTTAAGTGTGGACGAAATTTGAACTAGACAAGGTGGGAAAATTTAAATTAAGATTCAAAATTTAGATCTAGATAAATGGCTTACATTTGTCCATGTTTCCTATACTTGTGTCACACTTCGCATGCTTTCTTCACACTTGTGATGCTTAGCTTTTTCCTTGACTTTTGTGAGTATGAAATACGATTTTTGGAATGTCATCAAGGGGCCATGTGAATTTGGTGAAACCCTTCAACAAGGTCAACTTTTGTGAACCTTGAAGCAAAATACAAGTCTCCAAGGAACTTGTCTAAGGTGGGAACTGGAAATTGGTCCTTGATCATAAGCACATCTAGAGAACAAAAATCCTTGCATACTCGCCATGCCTGATTCTTTTTATGATTAGTAACACTGTAAAGGAGAATGAACTTTGACTGGTTGAACAAGCCAATTTGATGCTTGATTTCTTGCTTCTAAAAATGTACATAACAGTATGGTGAAACATTTACTGGTGCAACACTGAGAAAGAGGTAGATGTGGTGGTTAGTAGTTCTTGGTGGGGGTAAGGAGTGAAGGGCTAAAAATGGGTGCAAACTGTGTGATCAGAGTTTGCTGAGAATCAAGTTGGTCGTGGCTTGATCAATGTTTAAGAAGGAAGGGTTAGGAGTAAGGAAATTAGAGTTGGGCTGAAGTTGGATATGAAAGTAGGTTGGTAAGTGTTTAAAAGACGTTTAATTTAATTATGAGTAATCTTAGTTGGGACAGAACGACCATGTAAGTCAGCTCATGTGGCTTTCTGCATAAAATGCATCGTAAGACGAGAGTAGTCCATAATAATTGTGTTGAGGGCCTTAAGCCAATTTACTACAAAAAAAAAATAAAAATCAGCTCTTGCAAGGTCAATGATGATAAGCTAAACCTAAAAACTTTGACGAG